CCCTGCCGGTCCCAGAATTCAGTTGGCCCCTGCGCTGTGTGGGAGTCCTCCCCATCTCCCCTGGCTCTGGCTCAGCCTCCCGCCCCACTCCGACACACACACACACACACACACACACACACACACACACACAGACTCACACACTTCATAGCTCCTTAACACTTCCTCTAAACCAAACACACCCAGTCTTACTCATGCCCCAAGAATTTTGGAATGGCTGAGTATACTGGTCAGGAGGACTCCCACACCCAAATGGACACATGCGCAGGGACACAGAGATGGACACAGAGGCTGGCACTGAGGAGTCTCTGGCTGGCACCCCAGCTGACCTGTGTCCTCTGAAAAAATGTGTCGCTTGCCCACCCTCCCATCCCTTCTGGGAGCTGCTTGTGGAGGAAGGGCCCTAGGGTGGCGGGAGGCACCTGCAGCTTGTGCTGGAGTGGTAGTGGCTCCTCCTCTGGGAGGTTCTGGACCAAGTGTGGAAGCTGACAGACCCCTCTAAGGAGAAGGGTGGGTAGGTAGCATTTTCAAAATAAAAGATCTCCTTGGTGTATGAGTGCCAAAGCATCAAGCAGGCCTGAGTTAATCCTGCTACTGGCCTAGCATGCTATCTGCCAGTCCCTCCCTCTTAGGGCCTCAGTTTCCCCACCTAGAATTGGTGCAGGGGTCCTCTACAAGGCCTCTTCCAGCACTGACACTGTGCCCTGTAAATTCCATGGTTCATTCCTCCTCGGCACCCCTTTGGGGAACCTGGTCTCCCAGCCCAGGGTCCGTGGTCTCTTCCGGTATGGAACGCAGAGGCCCTAAGGAGCTCTGACCACCAAAGCCCGAGGGCGGAGGGCGGGGTGCCAACCTCAAGACTCTGGATGGGCAGGAGGGACAGCAGAATGCCCTCTGCCTACAGGCGGTGAGCGTTAGCCGGGTGGGGATGCACTCATCCTGGGTGATACTCTGCCACATCCTGGTCCATGGAGGTTTCCTTCAGGGCCAGGATGGAGGAGGGAGGAGAGAAGGGAGCTTCTAACCCCCAAGTGGTGTGCCGATTCCCCACACAATCCCACCCTGGAGGTAGGCGCAGGGTGCTGGGCTGAGCCAGAGCTGCCACCGTTTTTTGAACTCGCTCCTCCATCCCAAGCGTTGGGGGGTGTTGAGCTCTCTGTTAAATGAGTGAAGGACGGGGTTCTGTGTGGTTGTGGGCAGCCACGGGGGGCAAGAGCAGAGACCCCACACCCCCTGTGCTGCCCTCTCCCCATGCCAGCGCTTCACCGACGGCATCACCAACAAGCTGGTGGCCTGCTATGTGGAGGAGGACATGCGGGACTGTGTGCTGGTCCGGGTGTACGGGGAGCGGACGGAGCTGCTGGTGGACCGGGAGAATGAGGTCAGGAACTTCCAGCTGCTGCGAGCGCATGGCTGCGCCCCCAAACTCTACTGCACCTTCCAGAACGGGCTGTGCTATGAGTACATGCGGGGCGTGGCCCTGGGCCCTGAGCACATCCGGGAGCCCCGACTCTTCAGGTGAGGAGGGTGCCAGGCCCTGGTCATCTCCACGCTTTCTCGGGCCTTGGGCTGGGGAATCCTTGGCCAGCTTCCATGGTGTAGAGTGGAGCCCATGAATGAGTCATCAGATCTGTGAACTCCCTGAAATTGCATGAAAAACGTGTGTGTGTGTGTGTGTGTGTGTGTGTGTGTGTGTGTGGATTGCTCTGCAAAGAGGACGATAGCTTTGTGTCGGTTTTCAGTGGGGTCTGCTAGGCGTTCTCAAAGGAGGCGCTTGAGAACTTGGGTGAACATGGGACCAAACAAGGCACCTGGTCCCCTAAATGCGGCAGGGATCCTCTTCCTGGTCCATGGAAACATCTACCTTGGAAATGAAATCTGAGCCACATCCCCAGCGGGTCAGGGAGCTTTGTTCCTCCCCTCCTGCCAGGAGCTCAGGTGTGCTGGGAGAATGGCCGTTAGGATCCCAGAGAGATGCCATCCCTCACCCAGTGCGAGCTCCTTCCAGAGGTCCTGACAAGGGGGAATCCAGGTTTGGGGAGCTGCTGAGCTTCCACAGGCTCACAGATCCCATGGTCCCCAGCGAGCCAGTCCTGCTCCATGCCTAGATCGATAGGACCTTCAAGCCCTGTGGCTGTGGGGCCTGGTGCACCGTTCTCTGTGCTGGGCAGGGAGGTTGGGCAGGATCCACCGTCCTCCCTCCAATGCTACGGCCATGTGCAGGGCACTCAGACCAGAGTGAGTTCCCAGGTGACACTGGGGACAGTGGCACAGGGGTTTGCCCAGGACCCTTGGGCTCTGTCCTGTCCCACCCACAGGGAAGGAACCTTCCAAGTTCCAAGGGACAACAGCAAAGCCCCCCGCCACCCCGCCCGGGAGTAGACCAAACACAGCTTCTTTGCTCCCCGCCTGCTGCCATTCGCCCCGAGTTAGTGTCCCTGGCCCTATTTTCAGGGAACCCCTGTCAGGCCCCCTAGGGACTTAGAGGGAGGGAATCTAAGAGCCTCCCCTTCCTCCCCAGGGCTCCTGAACGCTGCTCCTGGGGCTGCTGTGGCCCCAGCAGATTCCCTTGAGTCGTATTTTGTAGCTGTGTGTTTGCGTCTGGGTTTGGGGGATACACAAACCCACTTAAGGGGCATCTCAGGCTCCCCGCTGAGCAGCTCCACATGCACCCAGGCTGGAGAGGGGGGTCTGAGCAGGGCGGAGGGTGAGGAGCCCTGTCCTGCTTCCCCACCAACTCCTCCCAGCTCTTGTGCAAACAGCTCCCATATTGGCAGGTCCTCACCACGCCCAGTCTCTCCGCCCGGGTGCATCTGATGCTGTCACTCATCCTCTCATGAACATAATTACCATTGTCAGGAAGATGAAGATGGATTTAGGTTCCATAAGAAGAACTTGACAAAATTCGGGGGAAAGCCAGAAATGGGGCAAAGTGTAGGAGGTGGCCCTTCCTTGATACTCTTCCCAGGATAGACCATTATCTTCCTGGAATAAAGGTGGGTCTTTGAGGACAGGTGGGGGTGGGGAGGGGGGCCTTTGGGAGCCACTTCCCCGCGTGGCCCTGAATCCCACCCCCCAACCTGCGCCTGTTGAGGCTCTGCAGCTTAGACGCCGCGTGTTGAGTTAGCTTTCATTGCTATTCCAGACGGCATTCATATTGGTATTCAAGGAAACACTCTGTTCGTTCTGTTCGGAATCTTCCTTTGAGGAGGGGAGGCCTGGGTCTCAGGTCTGTTTCTCGCCTCGCCCACGCCCTGGGCTCCCTCCTCTTCCAGGGCCTCCGGCCTCTGAAAGCACAGCCTTCATCTCTCACCCACTCAGCTGCTGCCACACCCCCTGCCCCCTCCACCCTTTTGGAGGTGGGAGCCCCCCCCAGAGTGGCCTGGCTGTCGGGAGATGGTCTGCCCCTTCCCAGGACCTGGCAAGGGGCGGGGGTGTCCCTGGACAGCTCGGCAACAAGGTTTCAAACAGCCACGGCCTTTGTTGTCTTTCCTCGATTATTATTGGAGCAACAGGCAGAGGTAAAGGAAGCTTGAATGTTGGAGGTTTGGCAGCCAGTGGGGGTGGGGCTCCAGAGGGGGAGCCGGCCCAGGCCTGGGGGAGCCCAGCTGGGACCCAGGCCTCAGACGCTGGGTCCTTATCAAGGCCCTCCCTCTCTGACGGTCAGCCCTCCACCCACCTCCCCCCTCTGCCAGCAGCCTTCCCCTGAGCTGCTTTCTCCTCTCCCCACCGCCCCTCCTTCTCTCCTGGGACCTTGGATAATGTCCACAGGAGAACTTGAAAATAGAACGCTGGTTTGTTTTGCGTCCTTGGCACCCAGCCGCCAGCATCAACTCCCTGCCACAGAGGAAGGGGCTGCCCTGGGCCCGCCTGCATCCCTCCCCACCTTGGCCAGGCTGATAAGAGGCGGGCATTTCTCCCTGCCTGGCATTACCACCCCTGATCCCTTGGTGCCCTGTGTTCACTTCCCCCTGAGGGTCAGAGTCCAAGGGGGGAGGAGAGGCACCGCCCCCAACCCCAGTGATCCCTCTGTCCTCAGTGGGTACATGACCTTGGGGTGGGGCAGGGTCACTGACCAGTGGCCAACAGCCCACTGCTTTGCCCTTCTGCTAGGCCAGCTCTAGTTCTGGAAAAGGACCTGCTAGGCCAAAGGCCAATCTCATTTTCATGCCTCCGCTGAGATGTAGAGAGAGCTCTGGAAAGATATGTCATAGCCCCAGACTCTGCCCTCTGGCCAGCCCCTTCCTACAGCGTAGGGCCCCTTTCCGGTCAGGAGGGGCTGATACTCTACCCTTCCTGTTTGTGCTGTAGGCTGATCGCCTTGGAAATGGCCAAGATTCACACGATCCACACCAACGGCAGCCTGCCCAAGCCCGCCCTGTGGCGCAAGATGCACACGTACTTCACCCTTGTGAAGAACGAGATCCGCCCCAGGTACGGGGTCTGGGGGGCTCCCGGCTGCCAGGCCTCCTCCGCCTGAATGTGACCCGCCCCCCCTTCCATTGCCGCACCCCTCCCTGCAGGAGGGCTAGCCATTTCAGTCCCCACCGCTGAGCCTCTCTTGCCAGGGGGAGTGGGGCCAATTGAGAAAGCTGAGGACCTTGGATCCACAGTTTTAGCCCCATGCATGTGCTTCTTCTTCTTCTTTCAGTCCTCACCCGAGGATAGGTTGTTGTTGTCATTGATTCTACAGCAGCGGTTCTCAACCTGTGGGTCGCGACCCCTTT